ATATCAGTTCCACAACTCCAGTGTGTGAATTAATTTTTTCCATAATTTGTTTTTCTCCTATTTCTTCATCGTTTAAGTTGTTTCTATTAAATTTTACCTTCTCGGCCACTTCAATACCATTTAACCAAGCTTTGTACACCCCAAAGCCAAGTACTTCGTCTGTACGAGTTATTGTTGGAACTGTTTCAAAAGTTTTGATTTTTCTTGGTATTAATTGAATATTAGGTAAAGTATGAGCAACCAGTTCAGATGTTGTGTAGATAATGTATTTATCTTCAGGGGAAAATTGAGGTAATTCTACAAATAATTCCAATAATTGTTCGTGAATAGCTTTTATGGGAGGCCTTTCCTTTGGATCTTGATTAATGCAACGAACACAAATTTCAAACAACTTTTTCGACATGTCAGAAGTTAAACAGGGGAAATTATGTTGAAGTGTTTCTTCTAACTGGGATACATTGGATTGCAAAGATTTAATAAAATCATGGCCACAAAGAAGTTCAATCATTGTTACACCAAAGCTGTAAACATCAATCTTCGATATTTCAGAATACCCTAAATCATATTTAACTTCTGGGGGCTAAAATGGATAGTAAAATAAATCAAAATAACTTACCAAATACAGTCGAGTACCAAAGTGTGATGAATTACTTATGTCACCTTCAACAATAAAATCAAAGTCACATAGTTTCACGTCATTAAATAAATTCATACCAGCTATCTCTATCGTGTTAACTAAAATATTTGCTGGCTTAATATCACAATGACTAATATTCATTTTGTGCATAAATGTTAAAGTTTCACTAATTTTCACCTGAGTATATAATATTTGCCACAATTTTCCAAAGTGATTTCTCCCAAAATCTGCTATTTGCGAATGGTTAAGAGAATGATCCATCAACTCCATGAATATGTGGTTTATGCCATCCTCAGATTCATAATGATGTAATATTTCAACTATACCAGGATGTTCACTGATTTTTTTGTAGAGCTCTAAATCTATGAAAGCAGTGAAAGCT